AAGCACGCGACCACCCTCTTCTTATGCTTCTCTCGGCTTCAAGCTTGACGACGCATCACATCACGTGCGGTCACTCCTCAAACCCCTTCGAGACGAAAACCGGCATGTCGAAACCCCACCCGCACCCCCTCCATGACGTACAGAGAAAGAGTAGCTCCATCTTTAAATTTTTGAGGGTGGGGACCGGGGGCGGGGGAATATTTTCCAGCTATTTTCGAAACCCTGTCAGCCCGTACGCTTGTCCTGCGTACAAGGCAAGACAAGGGCAAAGATCACCATCACGACCAGAGCACAAATCTCGCTGGAAAACAACCATGCTACCCAAGCCAATCCTGGAAAACAACCATGCTGCCCAAGCCAATGCTGGAAAACAACCATGCTGCCCACGCCAAGCCAATCCTATCCTATCCTATCCTCCTTCCGAGGGAACAAAAACCAAGAAAATAACAGCGAGATCAACGCCACAAAACGGGTCACGTGTGGATTATCCTCCGCAATAATGGCCCACCGAACGACACGTGCATGCTGTACCAAGACCATGTGAAGCGCTGCCGCCGGCCTGTCTGACCCCCCTGCCCCCCCCCGCCCCCGCCCGTCCGCCCGTCCGCCCGTCCGCACAGATTTTCTCATCCACCCTGTGTACGATGGGCCTCAGCTCCTGGCGAGCTCTCATTCCGTCAAGGCAATAACCGCCGTCACCCCGGTGTATCCGTCCCACCTTTTCCGTCTAATTCCGTCTCCGCGGTCTGTGCATCAATCGCGGTAAACTTCTACCCTTGACCTACCCTCCTCGACGTCTTTTTCTTTCACAGCTGGACAAGGAAAAAAAAAAAAAAACGAAAACAAAACAAAAACAACAAGAAGAGGACGATTCCAAGCAGCACCAGCGAGCGAGCGAGCAAAGACAATCATCCACCAACCCGTTTTCGTTTTTCCGGTTGCCCCTCCTGATGGACACAAAAGTGGGCGGGCGGCCTGCCGTGAGCCACGACACACACACGCACACGCGCACGCACACAACACACACACACACACACACACATCTTCCGGAGAAGGCGACATCCTCCGGAGAATTGACACGACGGCGTGTCTCGCTCTTTTGCGCCGTCAAGACAAGACGGTGGCGGGCGGCCTGCCGGGAGCCACGACCTCCCCCGAGACGGCGGACACAGAGAGGTTGGCGAGTCTCTCCTCGAGGGCCTTGATTCGGGAGTTCTTTTCGCGGATGGTGGTGCGGTTCGTCTCCAGAGCGGTCTTGAGCTGCTTCACGGCGTGGCCGAGGTCCCTTTTTTTTGTTTTGCAACCAAGAATCGCACACACACACACGGGGGGGGGGGGAGAGCAGACTGCGGTCAATAGACGGAGACGAAAAACAGACAAACAGCATATGAGTACCCCCTTTACATGTGCACGTCTCCCAAAAACTACGAAACCTGTTGCAGGAAAGAAAAACAAAGCTCTAGTTGGCTATTTACTCCTGTATCCTGTAAATAAATAAATTGATACGAAGTAGCTACAGTACCCACAGGGGAGAGATATCACTGCGTAATACACGGGTTGGTAAGATATAGCACGTACGCATATCGTTTCATTGCTATTAAGATCCTTTATCCTAGTCTCTTAACATAACTGTGGACAGATATGACTTCGGCTTGTTTGTGGGGGAAAAAAAAAAAACTGACCTTGCCCCTACTTTGCTCATGTTGAGCTCCTTCTCTCGGCGTTCTAGCTGCCCCCACAGTAGCTCCACTTCTAAAGCCGACTGCAAACAACAAAAGCACACGTGCAAAAAACAGATGGAAGGGGGAACAGAGGAGGTTTTGAGACAAAACGGGACGGAAATGAAACACACAACAGCACGACCAAGTCGAACGGAGACTACTTTCTGCTGCCGTCGACCAACCGCCCGTGATGGCATTTACGCCACGGAAAAAAACAAACAAACTCAAAAGACGCCTTCAGAAGACGGCGCCTTTAAGAGCACACGATGAGAGAAAGTGATTGGTCAATGAGAACGATCATCGACATACCAGCGATCGAGCAAATGAGCCACACCACAGTATATATAGCCCATGCGAGGCGCACAAACGGGTACGTGCGCCCTTGAGCCTTGGAGAACGAAAGTAGGTGCCACCAAGGACCACAATTGCAATACTCGACCCTGAGACGCGCCTTGGAATGGGACTGAATCAAGAAGCAAAAGGCTACGCAGTTTCGAGAGGCAGCTAGCTGCATCGGGATACACGGTTTTAGCAGCGGCGGCTGGCTGCCGCGCCTGTGTAGACGCCAGGAAAAATATTCACCTGGCAGTGAACGAACATTGACGTGCCCGGACAACCACAATCACACGTACGACGACAACAGCAACGCGCACAGCAGCAGCTAGAGCTCGTGCACGGACAAACCAACGACCACAATCGCACGCAGTACGACAGCAACCAAAGAACCCAGCACACAGCAAAGCACTTAGCTACGGTAGAGGTCCCTGTTTAGTGCCGGATGAATAGTGCCGGTGCCCGGTAAAGTGCCAATACGGTGTTTTCGGCAGGCACAAACTGAATCCCCCAAGTCATCCTCAATACTTTGAATAATACTGGTGTCCGGTATTAGTGCCCGTGAATTTTCGGGGCACATGCCGGAACCAACAGGGGCCTCCACTACTACTGCTGTACCACCGCGGTATCGCTCTCTACAACCATCTTCTCGACCAACACGTTGCCTCCCACGCTAGGTACCCTGGGTTGCATGACGCAAGATACCACGCCCCTTGGGGATCGATTTTCAAAGCTCCATTACTCCAGGACGCAAAAACCAAGTGATACTTTTTGGAAAAGTTCCAACGCCGCCGTTGTCGGCGCCATTTTCACTGCAGAGTACCCCGAGCTTCGAAAGTCGGTCCAGCGTGTGTGTGTGTGGTATCTTCCGTCATGCCAACTACGGTAGTCACCATCATGCCGCCTGCGTAAGTCATCATCGTCATCATCACCACCCCTTTCACCTGCGCCTGGTCCATATTTTTCCGCTCGAGGTCCATCCACACCTTCACGTACGCTGCTCGCGTGTTGCGAAAACCTTCCGCTGCTCAATCAAAACGCGGTTGTTTTTTGTTGTTGTCGTCGTCGTCATCGGTTAAAACGGTCGCGATCAACGGGGTGAGGGGGTGGAAAGGTCAGTACGTGATTGATAAATAACGCCAACAGTATGTCAAGCCACAGAAGGAGAAAAGGGCAAACAACACTCTACATCTATGTCTAATAATGTGTGTGTTGTTGTCGTTAAAACGCTCGCGATTCACGGGGCTTGGTCGGGTCACAGTACAGCAGTAGGTGGTTTGGTTGGTGAATATAACGTTTGCCAACAGCATGTGAAAGCCACACAGCAAAAATAAACAAAACATTAGAGCGAACAAGTTCTGCACGTATACACTGCTGTACCTGCGTGGCAATAAACACGCAAAGTTATACAAAAAATAAAATATATTGATGGCCATGACTAGAACAATGGGCACACCAAAGGATAGGAACACGAGCAACAACACACTACAATCAAACAAATCGTGTGATCGCACATTGCTTGCACCTCCTTTACAATACTAGGCCCCGACAAAAAAAAAGTGCAGTATACAGCAGTAATAGCTCACCCATGAGGTTATACCGCTGTCGGATGAGCTTCTTGATCTCGAAGCGCTGGGACATGCCCACGCCATCGTGAAAAACGTCTCCCGGCTTCGCGCCCGTCTCGTCCATCAATCCAGGGTCCGCACCGGCTTTCAACCTGCCCATCATGGTTACGAATATGATTCCGATTCCGATTCCGATTTCAACACAATTAGTTGCGCCGCGGCTGGCATACAACACATCATCAGACGATTTCGACACAATCAATGGAGCGGCGGCATGCTTTATGCTACAATAAAAGCAGTCTACGATTCCGATTTCAACACGATTAGTTGCGCCACGCAATGCCCATGCCACGAACAGACTGCGATTCCGACTTGGAAAAAAAATATTTGCGCCGCGCCATACACATGTCACAAAAAAAACAGATTACAATTCCGATTTCAACGCAATTAATTGCGCCACGGCATAAAAAATGCCACAGAAAAAAACGAAAAAAAAATGAAACTGGGAGTGTTTTTTTGGTTTTTTGGTTTTCCTCGGGAGGCCTGAAGGACTGTTTACTGATTGTGTCGTACCAACTCCTTTTCAGGACGAAGACACCCCTGTTCTCCAGTAGGAAAAATATATACACGCGCAGAAAGACTGACTACCCATTCTCTATGCAACACCTCCTTTTCCATCATAAATAAAAAACTATCGGTGTAGTACATACATGGAGGACGGGCGTCTATCCGGTCGAGGGACGGGTAGGCAACACTGTGGCGTGCAAGGTTTGAATGTGGATCATGTAACTCTGGGAAAAGAGTATCATGCAACTCTGGGAAGAGCAGCCCGTCTTGCATGGATTCCACCAAGCAAGACACAAAAGGCGGACTGACAACGGAGTTCTGGACGAGAATAAAAATGACGCCATTAGACATGGCGGTAAGACACATGTCAACGCTCTCTGTGAGGAGTTTTTAACCCTAGAAATCTGTGGCAACGGGTGGGAACAACATGGGTCGACAATGTACCGGAAGAGGCGGAGAGATAGCACCCCCCCCGAGAGCCACTTCCAAAGCTCGAATGCTCGACAACCAACAACACCAAGATTGAGAACGTGCCGACACCAAGAATGAGAATGTTGGTGTTGGAACCATCTCATCGAGGGCTTTCCGTGGACATATCGGGCTCGCTCTTTCCGCACCCCATTGGTTGTGGCACAATCGAATCGAGCTTTTCAAAGTCGCTCTGTTGTAGGGGGGGGGGGGGGTGTACTCATAGTCGTGCATGCCGTAATCGTTAGACCATTGACCTCGCATCCCTACAAAGCCGGGACGGAGCACGCCGGGTTCTCACCGGACCAGGCTCTCACATCACCAAGCGCGAAGCGCCGTGAGGGATTTGGGGAGTCCCAAGAAGGGGGAGCTGCCTCCTGCTTGTAGGGGGGGGGGGGGGGCTTTTCCCCCCCCCTTTGGGGAAACCCAAGGAAAGCCCCCCCCCTAAACCCAAAAACCGAAAATTTTTCCCCAAAAAAAAACAACAAAACCGGGATTCTTCCCCCCCCCCCCCCCCCCT